AGTCGTTTAAAGGAAAGTTGACGGACGCCGGACAGACGCCGGACGACGAACGGACGGACGACGGACGCCGCTCCATAGCATAAGCTCAGCTGCCCTTCGGGCAGGTGAGCTAAAAAAGTATTACAAATTAGTGACGAAATGTCGTCAATGGATAACGTCCAATAAATCAACACACAGAGTCCACTTTGACCTATCCCAGACCAAAAGACATAATTAAGGGATCTCGTTATAAGTAGCAAACCACATACACTTTCCTCTGCTACAGCAAAGGGCTCTTTCAAAACTTTTTTTTTTTTAGATCACCTGGGCCAAAGGCTCAATTGACCTATTCCGATCACCCTTCAACTGTCGTCGTGCGACGTTCGTAAACATTTTACATTTTTGTTTTCTTCAAAAGAACGAGTGGATGTTTTTTTTTTCAAACTTGGTCAGAATCATTCATGATAGATGAGGGTACAAAATTGTAAAATTGGAATTCCTGCCCAAACCAAAGAGGCCAAGGAGGCCAAAGGGAACATTTACCAATATTTCAAAAATCTTTTCTCCAGACCAAGATGTAATACAGTCAATTTCTCTGCATAGATGGAAAGATCATCAGGGACTTTATTAACTTGTAAATTTTGTTACCCCCAGGCTAGAGGGATGGGACCATAGTAGGGGGAAATAGTTAAAAGTTAAAAAAATCTTCCTCAGACTCAGATGTACTGCAATCAAATACAGGAATGGATCGAAAGGTCCTTAGGTGTTTTAACAAAATTGTAAAACTCATCATCCCTAGATCATTTGCTCTACCTATGGAAAGGGGTCCATACACACACTCCAAAGGTACATTTCAATGTGAAATGAATAGCAAAGAGTATCACATTTTACAAATACTGACATGCATGTGAAGCAATGTAGGGTATCTTATTACCTGCAAAACATGCAATATAAAGTATGTGGGTAAAGCTAAAACAAAACTCAATATCAAAATCAACAACCACCGCAGATTTAGTAATTTCTACACAAACATATTTTTGTAAGAATCCAGTGTTAAATGGGAATTAACCGTTAATATTGCTTCTTTAACCAATATTGTAAATATCTAAAAACATATTCCGACCAATCAGTAGACCTGTCAATATCCATTAGCAATACGAAGAAACTAAAACTCTCAAAATACTAAATGGACGGCTTTCGGTCGTCCTGTTTTCCGATCAGTCCGAAATCAATTATCCACACAAAGGCACCATGGGGAATCTACATGTGAAATTTGAGCAAGATCCTACCAGTATTGTTACTTTCAAAATATAAAATGGCCACCTGTTGGCCATCATGTATTTCAATTAGACCAAAATCCATATGTACAACTAAGGTCCTACTTATGATATTTGTAGTTTTTCTTTTAGAAATAGCGAGAATAAAAATTATCTTTCTAAATACAAAATGATTGCCTGTTTGGTACATCAAATATCCAAATAACCTCTTAATGCAACGCTTTTTATCCAGTGTAAATAACGTTTCATATAACGTATCAAAAAGATAAATGTTCGATAGTAACTATTATGTACGGTGGCTGATTGAGGACATCCAATGAATATTTTATCTCGTTATAACGACTTAGTAACTCATTATAACGACTTAGTATTTCGTTATAACTACTTGACATCTCGCTATATCGACTGAATATCTCATTATAACGACTTAGGCGAGATACTTACTCGTTATAACAAGATACTATCTCGTTATAACGAAATAAAAATATTCGTAGGATGTCCTCGATCAGCCAACCTAGTCATGAATGTTCTCAAAGTCAAATACAAAAAATAATTACTCACAATATAAGTGCCATCTTGCAAAGGAGTCGGATCGAGGGAATGTCCGGATTGTTCCTGTCTCTGTTCCCAATTTTCTATTTTGTTCGCAACTTGGCTGTCTTCAGGAACCTGTTGTTATATAGAATATGTTGACAATTTCATATTAGATGTTGCACCTGAACGACATTTTAATATCCTTTTTGAAATACAGGAAAAATAAATCGGAATAAAAACAAAAAAAGCAAACTGAAAGTCAACACGAAACAGACACTTCATATGACTGAAACTTTGAAAATATCATGACATCCTGATGGATTTCAGATAAAACAAGGTGCTCCATAATACCAAGGTTTTTCCTGCAAAACATGTGTGGCACGAGTCATGGTGTCTCCTGTTAAACCTAGGAATGTATATCTGTCACCAATGATACAACAATGAATATGCTAACTGTATGTATAGTTGGAAATAAATTATTGAATGCTTAAGTATAATTTTCAGAAAATCGTGATACTTTGAACAGGTTCTAAAATAGCAAATCAGAAAAGACTAATATGTTAGAATTTAATTGATGTTAAATTCACCCTGATCTCAAAATAGAATTGAATATTGATAACAATGATACATACAGGTACAACCTTAATTTATTAAAGCGGCCAATGAGTTTGTTTGCCCTTTCTGACAGATGTTGGGGGAAAAAATGAAATAAATAAATATTTATGTGTACCTATTGTAAACATAGATATGGATAAAAGCTATAAAAAGATATTAGTTTTCTTTGGAAAAATGGAAGACGCATACAAACAAAATAGACTCCGATTATAGAAATTATACTTACATGAGCAGCATTGGAGATTGTTGTTAATGTTGAACTAGCTACTGGATGCGGGACTTTGTCAATTTCTTTTGCTTTTGCACTTTCGCTGGTAGTTTTGCTAGGTTCCTTGAAGGAAAAATATCATAAGTTTATTTTGCTATGCAGACGACGGGAATTTTGAAAAAGGACAATAATAAGCCTTTTTTGTGAACTATGATTTGCAAATATAATTAATTAGTCACGTTTTGGTAGGTACACTTACTGAATTTAAATGCTATAAACAGCTGCGATATTTCTGTATTATTATGATTTATAACTTTGTTTTATAAGTTTGCTAAATGTCGTAGAGAAACCATTTCAGCAGTAAAAGAAGTGAATAATTGCATCCCTCTCAAATGTTCTGCTTCCATATTTCTATCACTTTAATTTATAAACTTATATAAAACAAATAATGAATGTTGACTAGAGAGTTATCAAATACAAACACTTACATGTACAGCTGGAGTCTTTTTGTTGACGTTTCTGTCTGTGCTTTGCAAGTCTCTGAAATGAAATCAGTCGTAAAATTGATATTGCACAATGAGAAATTATCAGTAACCGACTTGTGAAATTAAAAAGAAAATCTATGTAGGACTTTCTGAGAAATCTCTGAATCGTCATTAACCAAAATGCCTGCTTATCAGACACCTGTTATTCGACATCTAAATGTCATTATATTCATTATAATCATTAATCATTATATCTCAAAATGGTATATGCACAACGAAGGACCTACAACAGTCTACATTAAAAAATAGCAAAATAACAGTATGTCAATTACTTCTTGAGATATTGTGCAAACAAACTTTTACTTTCAATTGGATCATCATATCAGTCCAACATGAAACGTATATAACTAAGTTCCAAGGGAAATCTAATTCTGGGGTCAATTTACAAGTACCATGACCAGAGTGCTTTGAAGACTTCAACGTTTTAAAAGTCGCCATTCAGTGGCCCTTATATTGGCTAACACCGTCATCATATAACCTGTTTTGATGACCCAAAAACAATCTCCAATTCCTACCACCCCCATCAAACTATTCGCTCCATACTATTGTTACTTCTGTCCATATTTAAAAAGTCATTTGGAAGTAAAATAACCGGACCAATGCACATTTCATGCACCATATTAATACTTGACACATAATTTCAAGCTGATCAATTACTTTTAATGCTGAAAAAATACGAACTTAAAAAAAATACTTACACGAAGAAACTTTCCGCTTGTTTCGTCGTCTTCTGCTTATCAAACATGCTGATTTTGTATTGGACATATGAATTTTCTTTCTTTATACCACTGAACGTAGTTAAAATGGTTCGTTTGTACTTATCTAGATAAGCATTAATGTTTTTCGATAAATCGTTATGGAAGTGTTTTTTGAATGTAACCCAAGCCTTCTCATCACGTATGGTGAAAATGATGCTGATTTCTTCTTCTCCTTGGTGATGGATGATGTCTTTGATTAAGTAAACACGCCCTGTCTGATTCAAGAAATCCTGAAACCCAACTGCATAAACGCATGAGCATAGCCTCTTAGCAAGTTCTTCACTATATTCCTTTTTGCCTTTGCTAAAAGTGATGGTGTATGGACAGATCTGTACAGAAACATCTGGAAACAAAAGACAAAATAAGCGTTTTCGTTAACAACGTAGAGATTCGATAATTTATCAGTTATTCTATTGCGCTCTTATATGTTAAGCAATAATAAACAAAACAATATTCACCGAATCCGGACACCGGAACAGGTATAGGACCACTGGATGTCTCCGCCATGTTGTTCCGAATAGACTTGTTACTGTCTGAAAAATAGGAAACAAATTGTATGGTTACCAACATTATAACCTGATTATTTTGAAATCTAAATTTAAGTTCATGATGATTTATAATTTCAACCACATGTACTGTAATAACTTTGGTGTGCTTTGAAACAAATCGGGCATTATTTTACCTTAAAACGTTCAGCCAGTTTTGAAGTAGATATACTGAAACGTACCACGGAATAGGTGAATTCAAAGCATTGCTAATCACACAAAGTATAGCGAAATCATGAACGTTTCTGTTGAGCACGACTTGTATTATTCTTTTTTATATCATTCACAAAGTTGAAAAGTATCAAAACAGGATAAAAGTGTACTTCTATTTTACTATTCATGTCAATGGTTTTGATTGGATTAATTCCACTTCAGGTCGTATTTGATTTATATGCGTACATATAGATTTATTTTATGAACAGGAATACTTCCTTGGTTTTCAGAAAAAAAATCCCATTCAAAAATAAATATGCGATTTTATGATATTGTCTACTCGCAAATGTGCAATCAAGCATTGTGTGGCTCATTTTAAAATAGAGACATAACAAGTCAATATCGCTTTCAGAGGTAAAAAAAATCCTGCAATAACAAAACGTTTTTTGTTATTGATCAGTAAGTGATATTGACCAAACTCGACTTCGTCTATGGCGAAATGGACTCCTGACCACCATGAAATATTTCAATTTTACCGACCCTTTCAAAAATAATAATTATTTAACGAAGTATTAATAATTGGGTAATTAAGTAGTCTTGTTTAAGAACTATCCACACTTGAAAAACGCTAATTTGCATTGAAACAGTAAAATTATTCATGAAGTTAGGTTTTAGCATTACTTATTAAGTTCTCAATTAGAAGAAAGGTTTTTCTTTCAAACTACAAATGACGTTGTATCAGGAGCTCCTCCGGTATCTATTATTTGGTCCTCTGGTAATTTATATTTTTGATCTCCCTCTCTATATCCAACATTGTGAAGTATACCTTTATGCAGATGTTGTTAGTTATGAAAAGAGAGTTGATTGTTGTGAATGAGAACCACATTAAAATGAAAACATGCAAAATGTAAACCGGTGGTGTAAGGATAACATGTTTTTAATTGACATAAAACTAGTACTTTTGTACTTAAAAGGAAGGAAGGAACGTTGTCAGATCAAATGTTCCCTTGTTCCCTTGAGAGCATACTTAAATCAACAAACTGTCAAAAACATTTAGGTATTCATACTAGTCAGAACTTGATTTTGGTAGATAGTATGAAAAAATAATGTCAAAAGTTTCGCTTCATACATTAATTCATTCATTACAGCAAATGTCTAAAAACTCACTCAGGATGCAAAAAGATCTATTACAATGATTTATTATGCTGCCGTTTTCTCGGGAAATAGAATAAGGTCAAAGGTCAAACGACAGTACAATAAAAGCATTTGTTCAAACTGTTATCATATTCAGTTATTGAAAACACGATGAAATCACATTTTCCTGTAAAAAAGATACGTAATTTATCAACATTTCACAGATGGACTTGTAGTTAATTGAGGAGAAAAACAGTTATACACGGCCTCATGTAGACTCCCATTGAGATTTTGGGGTTTGATGCTACAGAAATAAGTATAATTTCCTTCCTGTACTAATCACTTTTCTCATTAATGGATGGTAGTTAAGTGTTGACTATGCATTGCCCAATCTTTTTGTTATTAAACACATCGGGATATTTAATGTCAAGGTCATATCAAGGTTGAAGATCAGGGTGCATTGCCAAATTCAAACATTATTTCTTAAGGCATTGTTTTTTTATTTAAAACATAGTGGATTAACATTTATCATTTCCAAGAAGTCGAGTTCTTCGCAACTTCAACCGTAACAGGATACAATATTGTTGTTACAAGCACAGTTGTGTACCAGCATACCGTTTCTTGGATTTAGTAATAGCCGCTAAATCAGGATTTTTTATCTTCAATGTTCCATCACCATCAAATATCCACCCAAAACTCTGTGACGGATGCGGTGCAAATTGTCCATTTAATGTGCTGTTAGACTCATCCACTTTGTGGCAGGCCAAGACGATTGCCTGAAACTACATTGTAAAAGATCTTTTTGAATTGATTGATTTTTAATTCTTCTGTGTGGCAGCTTCAGTGATGTGCAGCTCCTTCACAAATAAGCGTGTATCATCTTAGCTAGGGTTTGCGGCAATTCGATGTAAAGGTAGGTATGCAGTCTGATCTGTCCTATCCCGAAGTTACAATTAATATATAAAATGCACGATGACATCAGTATCATTTGCATACACAACTTCTTTTTTGCTACTTTCGAACAAGGTGACAAGCAATGCATACTTTCTCCTGTGTGTGTTTCAATCCAGGTACGGATACCAACTGTCTGACGTGACTAACACGCTTCTTGTTTGTTATGTGAACCCTCCTGAGGTTTGTTCCATTTGCTCAAGATTCCGAAATAAAGCTAACAAGTTATGCTTCATTTCCTTCATCGGTAGCAAAATCGGAAAACGCGGGTGTTAGTATATTGGATTGTATGGCATACGTTTTCCACCCACGATCTGTGTTTCCTTGCTTAATGCTAGGCTGTTTATCATATCTTTGGCAAAAATAGTGAACGCATGTAGTGCCGGTAGATATCGTGGAATGTTCCATCTTTTTGAGATGACCACATTTGGACGTCTCAGTCCCGAGCTGAATAAAACTGGATGCGATTAAGTACACGCATGTCTATCTATTAGCTCCTCTCCATTAACTTCATCGCCATCACCACTGTACTTACTCTAACCGCCACTCACTTTCACCTGTTAGAGTCTCTGACCGACACTTCCTATCACCTGTTAAGGTCTCTGACCGACACTTACTATAACCTGTTAAAGTCTCTGACCGCCACTTACTATCTTTTGTTAAAGTTTCTCACCGCCACTGACTATCACCTGTTTAAGTCTCTGACCGCCACTTACTATCACATATTAAAGTCTCTGACCGCCACTTAGTATCACCTGTTAAAGTATTTGACCGACACTTACTATCACCTGTTAAAGTCTTTGACCGCCAATTACTATTACCTGTTAAAGTTCTGACCGCCTGTTCAAGTCTCTGACCGACACTTAGTAACACCTGTTAAAGTATCTGACCGCGGCTTACTATCACCTGTTAAAGTTTCTGACCGCCACTTAGTATAACCTGTTAAAGTCTCTTACCGCCACTTACTATCACGTGTTAAAGTTTCTGATCGCCACTTACTAGACACTGTTAAAGTTTCTCGAGTATTCCAACTTCTACTAGAGTCTGTGCTGCTTGCATTCTACATGTTGCCTTGCCATATTTCTGTGTCCCAATTTTATTTAACTTGATAACAGCTAACTTACTTCTCCATAGTTATAGCATTTTCTCATTTTTCTTTGGTATGCGTCAAATCCCTTTTCACTTCCTCTGTTGCTTTCATTCAAGTAACAATTTGGAGCAACGTACTTGAAGTTCTGTCTGGGATGAGTTACATTCATTTCATTCATGGGATCATTTTATTGGTGATGATGTCGATGGTGGCCTGCAAAGTTGTTGAGTCCTTTGAGATTTGAACACTGCCTGATTCATGGTGTGCTATTCTGCATCTGAATTCATCTTAAGCATTCTCCGATGTTTGTCAGCAACTGTAGCTGTGATGGGTTTCGTTGAAAGCTATTTGGTCAGGGCTTACAGTTTGATGATCTTACACAGTCATTGCTTCAGTTTGACATCTGCATTGTAGGTTTCTTCTAATCCCTTTTAAGGAGTAACTCCATTGTGTATCCCATCTCGTCTGCGGACGGTAAAGATACCATGTTCAACATATCTCTCATATGCTAAAGATGCAATGGTAGAAAGCACGGCTACCTCTTTGTGGTAAATGATTTCATCCCCAACAAATGACTATTTTTAGCTCACATGATTGAGCATATCAGCTAGTGCAATATGGTGTCGTGCGTCGTGCGTTGACAATTTACATTTTCAGACTTTTTCAGAACAACTGCATCGATTGGCCTAGTGTTCTTATTTTTCGTGCCGATCCAAAACCCGAGATGGCCACCGTGTCTCTTATTGGCTGAGACATGTTCAACTTCTTCTCAAGAATCGCTAAAGCAGTTGACTTCAACCTTGATTAAAATGTTTGTTATGTGATCCCATGCAAGTACTTTCACTTAATTATTTATTGCTAATCCAAAAAACCAAGATGGCCGCCCTAGCATGTGATTGATTGCGTCACTTTCGACTTCCTCTCCAAACATCTACACTAATTTACTCCAAATATCCTTCAAAGGTTCTTTGTTACGTTCCCAACACGTATGTACTTACATTTAGTGCTGATACGAAAATTCAAGATTGCCGCCCTGGCCTCTGATTTGCTGAGACATTTTGACCCCCTAGGAACGGCATCACTAATTGACTCCAGAATTAGTACAAATGTTCTTTTGAGGTCTCCAACATGGGTTCCAACTTTTAGTGCCGATCCGAAAATCTACGATGGCCGCCTTACCGTCTGATTTGTAGAGATCTTTTCGATGCTTCAGAACGGCTGAGGCGATTAACTACAAATTATATACGAACGTTACTTCTGATGTCCCGACAAAGTTCTTATTTTTTGTCCGATCTGAAAATCAAAGATGGTCACCATGGCATCTGATTGTCTGAGACGTGTTTGGCTTCTTCTTAAGAACGGCTGTACCTATCGACTCCAAATGTGAAGCAAATAATTCAAAAAGGACACCCTTGCATCTGATAGGCTTAGACATTTTGAATATATTCTCAGGAAATGCTGCATTGATTACTCCAAACCTGGTACAAATTTCCTTATGAGGTTCCAAACAAGTTTTGTTGCTTTTCGTCCTGATCTGAAATTCCAAGAAAGCCGTTGTGGCCACTGACTGGCTGTGACATTTTTATTACAACTTATGTGCGCAATAGGGTTTACATACAATACAACAAAAATGTACAATAATTTATTGTATTGTTATGATGCCAACGTACAACAAAAAAGGTTTATTTACAATAAAAACACCTAGCACAAAAACAACAACGTTAACGACGGTATATTCTGGATTTAACGTTGTAATTAGTTGAGGAAAATTATACAATTTGAACATTCTGATTCGGTAAAGTGTTTGGGTAACATTGGATAAAAACTAAACTACTAGTAGTTCAAAACGAATTTCAAACTTTACTTCATATGACCTAGGCAGTATAGAGTTCAGCGAATATATCCAATGTTAGAAAGCATAGGCGATGCATACTCAACATATAACTACCATCCATTGATGAGGGAAGTGACTAGTAGAGGCAATAAGGTAATCCTTTCTCTGTAACATTATATTACCTGGAGAACTGCAATAAAACTTAAGGCTTTTTATACCAAAGGTTTAAGGGATATATACATGACCTATACATGCCTTCTTATTATTCTTATGATGTTGATTGGGAATAATATAGCGTTTTTCGTACCCCATCCCCTTTTTTAACCTGACATTATACTTGACAAAACAAATCACCTGTCGATTTCCGTGATGAGTGGCCAGTTAAAACATGATCCAGACAGTCCATACTAACGAAATTATAAGGCCACCCTTTGACTACGGAGTGGAATCACCTACACGTAATTCCAAATACCAGAGGCCCCTAGGGTATAAAGAATACAATTCACGCTGTGAAATATGAATAATAAAAATAATGGCCTAATTCCATTATGTTTCTATGAATTGTTTTGGTTTCGTTTTGTGTTTTCAGAAATCCCTTAATATCATCATTTAAAAATCATAACAGGAATTCCTGTTACTACAGTTATCATAACTTTAGCATGTGACAACAAGGAGGGGACGGAGACTTCGCAAGCACATTTAAGATATCACCCCACCCCCGGGCCACTTACCCTGGATCCGTCCGGCTCCTAAACTAAATCAGAACAAGGGCTAGGCTGGCACCCTAACTTCAGGTTATTACTCTTTTCTTTTTGTTCTACCCTTTTCATTATACCGAAATTACATATTACTAAATTAGTGCTAGTAAATAAATGTGTAACTTACCGTATGTAGCATGGAACTCCAGTCGTTAAGCCTCCTGCATGTATGCACACGTTACACCTTGTTGTCATGTGATACTACATCGTGAGACAGCAAACTGAACGTTGTTCGAGCTTAGTTGACCTTTGACCTGAAACCCGTATGCGAGTACCTATCAAAAAGAGTATGAAAGCTGCACGTATGCACATAAATCTTTGGTGCGCTTTAATGCGAGAAGGATGGTCAATACTATATGAAACGTAAAGTTTAAAGGCTGACGTGTAAACGATTTCTAACTTGAACGATGACTGATAATGGTGTTACTTCCTTTCTGTTTTCAATGAATGTTTTAGTTTCGCTTTTGCGTTTTCAGAAATTCACTTGTACAGGCAATAAGCTAATCCTTTCTATAAAGCGCTATACTATCCCCAATCAACATCATAAGAATTATAAGAAGGCATGTATAGATCATATATTTATATCATTTAAACCGGTTGTATGAAAAACCCTATAGTTTTAATGCCGTTCTCCATGTCAGAAGAATGCATTTCACACTGTGAAATAAGAATAATAATAATACTGACCGATTCCAAAATTTTATATGAATTGTTGTAGTTTCGTTTTGTGTTTCAGAAATCCCTTGATATCATCATTTAAAATCATTACAGGAATTCCTGTGACTACATTTATCATAAATTTAGCCTGTGACAACAAAAGGGAAGGAGAATTCTCAAGCACACTTAAGATATAACACACACACACCAGGGCCCCTTCCCTGGACCCGACCCGCTCCTAAAGTAATCCATTCGGAGCAAGGACTGCCTTAGTTTTGTTCTACTCTTTTCATTAGTACCGAGATTATATATTACTAAATTACTGCTAGTTAATAAATGTGTAACTTACCGTGTATAACACTGAACTGCATCCGGTAGACCTCCTGTAGTTTTGAACACTTTACATCTTGTAGTCATGCGATACTACATGACCCTAGCGAGACTTTGTTCGAGCTAAGTTGACCTGTGACCTGAAACCCGTTACACGTAAGTACCTATCAAAAAGTGTATGAAAACTGCACGTATGCATATAAATCTTTTACGAAGGACCTTCTATACTAAAAGCATGGTAAAGTATGGAGTGTAAATGATTTCTAACTTGAACGGCGACTGATAATGGCTTTCTGTTTTCAAGGAATGTTTTAGTTTCGCTTTTGCGTTTTCAGAAATTCTCTTTATATAAACGTCTAGAATACATCACAAGTATATCCGTCTGCATATCTACATAGTACTCAACAATTTCATAACTGGTACTTAACACTGTATTAGTGTTAATAAGCATTTAGTGAACAGGTAAATAATAACACGTTATACTCTTACCGTGTCGGACACTGAACGTTTTGCACACGTCACGTTACATAGTTTAGTCCTGTGATTCTAAATCGTGAGTCACCAACGGAAACAGAGCGCTCTCAGAGCCGAGTTTACGGAGACATTAAAACCATAACACGTGAGTACTTAAACAAAGTCATTCAAACTGAACGTATGTCGATGTTTGGTTTCCTTTACATATGATTAACAAATATCATTAGTAGGTAATATAAGTCTCGTGCTAGAGTGTTTGTACAGGTTCATTCTCTCCGAATTATTATAAGCTTACTTATTTAGTTTCACTTTGCGTTCTCAGAAATCTACTCAATGCAAGATGGGGGTATACACTCATTTCACCTATGTCAAAGAGTCCCGAAGTATTGGTCACTACGCATACCAGTAGTCAATACAAAGTGTCGGTTACTTAGAGTGAACGCTGTCTAGTCCATACAGAATGCGTATCGTGAACCAAGTATAAATGATTTACAAGAGTAATTTTCACAATAACAGATATATTTCTTCCTACTAATGCAAAGTCTCAAATCAGTAAAACGGTATTAGTTTCAAAATTTTGCATGACTTTACGTCAAAACCATAACTATAGTTAGATATATTTATATATCAAAAATCAGCAATATACTAATAAATTAAGAATTATCTACACACTTTTAAACAAAGATAATACTGATAATAAAGAAAACAATATTTTGACAAATCTATGAATGGCGGAAGTGTATAATTTGACCTGAGATTTGTATATTTAAAACTAAGGTGAAAAAGATAATTAAGTGGATCCCTGGTGTTATGGCCAGTAATGTTGCCAGCTTATTGATGGATATCAGGTAAAAAAACACTTGATCAACACTAGGTTGATACATGTATTTCGAACATTACAGAGAAACAACACTCGACTTCAAAACCAGTCAATTTTACAGTTACGGTAATGTCACATTGTGGGATTCGTTTGATGTACATCATAGGACTAAACTAGTCTTTTTCGCCTCATCCGAAATGTGGCACACACTGAGCCTTCAATTTTGTCAAGTCTTTTTCAAGGGGTGCAGAGAACGTACCCCCTGCAGTATTGAGGATTGAGTAAAAATGTATAATATGAGCTAGTTGGGAAATATATTTTACACCGACAAGTTATAGTTAGTAAGTACTAAAATACTAGTAACTTGAAGAAAAGGAGAAGTAAACACTTTCAACCAAATATTCTCGAATCAGACGACACACTTAGCTTGGAGATTTTGAATCTTTGTGACGTCATCTGGTTAGCACAGGTGACTTGGCAATATTTGATAGCGACAGGTTTTACAATTTAAAAGCTCACTCATTCCAGAATTCATTACCCTGATCAAGTGTTTAATGCTATTTACAATAACTACAGTAAACGATCATCAAGCATTCACCTCTATGTAGCACATATATCATATTTACCGTGTTGATTTTAATAGGTTGAAAACGTGGTAACATGCTGTGCCGAAATTGTTCCACTGACAAATTGTCAACGGAGTTTCCACCCTGTGATGTAACAGACAACTGTGATCACCCAAATTTAATATGTATGCAGGTAAGATTGAAGATATATTATCCCCTCGCAACGAAAGTTCGAGTTGATATAGGATTCAGCCCGTATGTACATGTACGTACGTTACACTCATTGTCATCGCTTTACCGACTTCATTCCTCAATGGAACATTATGAAACTTCAATGCAAGTGTTTGGTATGGCAATGCCTTAAACAAGTTTGCGTTTCGGGTTTCTATGTTGAAGGTCAAGGTCACTGTTACTATTTCTAGAAAAAAACTTTGTCATCACTCTACCGATTTCATTCCTAAATAGAATTTCGTGAAACTTGATACCAGTGTTATGTATGACAATATCTTGAACAAGTTCGCATTTCAGGTTACTGCGATTAAGGTCAAGGTCACTTCAGCTATTTTTAGTAAAAACTTTGCCATCGCTCTACCGACTTCATTCCTAAACGGAATTTCATGAAACTT